ATTGCGCTGTGTCTAACCTGCATCCCTTTTCCACAAAAGGGGTGCAGTCTAGACACAGCCCATGTGTATTTTCCCTTTGCTCCTTTATCAACCCTTCCACTTCCAGCCTAAAGCAGATCTGGATGGAGCAGGAAAGGTGACAGACTTGGCTGGCAGTGGGGCTCTGTTCCAGAGCCCATGGATGGGGTGGGGCTGGGGCCTAGCTTCCCCCACCCAGCCCTCAGAGCTGCTAGGACTGCACTGTGCGGGGCTCCAGCAGCAGTTTAAAGGACCCAGAGCTCCAGCCACTGCTGCTGCCTCAGTCCAGGGCATCTCCGCTATAAGGCGCCCCAGTATATGTTGGTTCCGCACGAGTGCTGTGGACGCTTGTGGGGACTGTTCTGTTTTCAGTCCTCCCATTCCCCGCTCCTCCTCTGTCACCAACGGGGGGGGGGCACGACGACCAATCTGAGCAAACAGCAGTCAGCCATGGGAAAAAAATCCCCCGCTTTACACCCTTTCGCTAGACGACCACTTTTTTGAACATGTGACGGGGACGCCCTGTAGCAACCCAGAACCCTAGGCCTTTTTAAATTGCTGGGCCCCAGAGCAGCTGCTGGGTTTGTGCCCTAGCCCCACCCCCATCACCACCCCAGGGTGGTGGGCTGTGGTTTGTCCAATCTGTGACATGCCCAGTGTCCTCTCAGCAGCTACAGAAGCCAGGGCCCCCCACGGCTGCCATCCACACTCACCCATTCATCTTCTCTCGGGCACATCCAAAGGGTGCCTCAGCTTTGTAGATAGGGAAGGAATCTGCCCATCACACCCCGACAGACACCCCAGGAAAGAGGCTCCAACCTTCTGGCAGACACTGACCATGACACAGGTGGCTCTCCCCCCACATGGAGGGGACACCACCAAAGTTATCTGGAGGGAGGGAAAGCGGTGATACCAGGTGGCAGGGACTCCATGTGGGGCGGGGAGGGAGCGCCTCCTTCATTCCCAACTGAACGCAGCAGGCCACACAACCCAGAAGCAATGCTAGCCTATTGGGGGCCCTGAGCAGGTATACTGGGGGGACAACACTGACAGCCCAAGTTTATAGCTGGTCTGAGCTCGCTGTTGGCAGGGGCGAAGCATGGAGGTCATGTAAAATCATGGAATCTGTGACCAACCGGAGCCTTAGTAGTGATAAAAAGTGAACAACCCGCCCTCCGGGCTGGCCGGGCCCTACACAATTGCTTAAGCCTAACTGCCTTGGCTGTGCAGTAATTGGGGGAGAGGAGTGTGTGTGTGTAACTGGAGATGTTTGTGCATCGCTGTTCTACGTGCTTCAAACTTGCTCCGTCCTGGAGCAGAGGGACACCAAGTCCTTGCACACCTGCCCCTCTCCTCCCCTGCTGAGTTGCTTCCCTGCCCCACACTTGGCTGGAGTCACATTCCCCCCTGTGCACTTTTTAAAAGATGTTTGGCTTTTCTTTGTAACTAAGTTCTAGACCCATGGAGTTTCTCCATGAGAATATTATCTGTTACTTTTCCATCTAGTTATTATGCTTGCAACAGAAATATTGTGGTGCTAATAAAAGTTTTCTCTTTTCTTTCTATTAACCTGGTACTGGTTAATAGGGTGTCCTGGTTCGTACTTTAAGAGTGAGACTTCCCTAGTGTTCTTTCCCCTGATTTGTCACATCAATACTTAGGTGGTGGCAGAAGAAGGTTTATTCCCAAAATTTAGGGTTTTAAGATTTTGGGGGGAAGTTTTATACCAAAGCCTGGTAGATAAGGTTTTGGGGTACACTTGCTGGCCCTCCACTTCTGCATTTATTGTGCCAGAGTGGGGAAGGAGCCATGACACAGGCGTTACAATAACTGGGTGAATCTGCATCAAGCTGCTTTTAAGAGGGCTGGATCTCAGGCACCCCCTTCTCAAACAGCCCCAAATTCAGACCAGCCTCTCCGCTCTGCATCCCCAGGGGGCACAGCAGGCTCCAAGCTGATTTCAGTGAGCACGAGGAGTTCAGAGCAAACAGTCACCCATCAGAGAGCGATGCTCAGCCTTAACTACAGCCCTGTAATACCTGAACTGAAACAATGATCTGGCAGCAACAGTGCTCCAGAGACAACAAACAGTGAAGGTGGAACAGTAAATTCCTTTCACTGGAAGAAAGCCAATGAGCCGAATAATTGAAAAGGACAAAGTGAAGGTGGACAGAATTTGTAGGTCCTGTATTGGACTCTGAATACACAATTGATTTCTACAGGTGGAACCTCTCTAATCTGGCACACACTGGTCCGGCAACATCTGTGGTCTGGCATGATTTTAGTTAGACGGATGTTAACCTATGGGTGTTGCCAAGTTTCCCCGCAGTCCCATAAAGTTTGTTTACAGCCACCAGTCCTGGCTCTGTTCTGTGCTGTTACTTACCTCTAATTGACCTCTGAATGTCTTCTAAGAGCCTAGTAAGCCATGGAAGTGTTGGTAAATGCTGCTAAGCAAAATATTGATCTCTGGTTCAGCACATGAGGTCCTCACACTGCTGGACTAGAGGGGTTCAACCTGTACCTTGAGCTCTCTGCTCTTTCCAAGGGGGGGGACGGGGACGCTATACTATTTAATAGACAAATAGACACTGCTGGCTGCCATCATGCCGAGCGAGCCAGGATGTGTTTGCAGGCAACAGGAAACAGACAGGATCCCCCGCCTAGCTCTAAAGGAGGGAGCAAGTACCTCCAAGTTTCTCCACAAACTTAATTGATGGAGCACCACAAAACCAGGAAGCAGCAACCAGATCTTGCAGGAATCTTAATCTTAAAGAAAGATGCTAATAAAATTTTGCCAAGTCCCCTCCCCCCCACCAGGTTTAAATAATGCACAAGGCCCTAGGTCATTCGTAAGTCAACAGCCGGATAGCACGGCTGTGATCTTCTAATCAGCCCTCCTGTATAACAGAGGCCCTGAATTAATTCCTGTGTGAACTAGAGCAGATCTTTTGGATCAACCATCCAACCTTGATTTAAAAATGGCCAGAGACAGATAATTCCGTGGAATACCACAGAATTAAACCCTAAATGTGATACTTGTAAGAGATTTGCCCCTTTCCAAGTGATAATACAAAGAAATGTGTTTTAAAGAAGCGCAACAGGAAGATTAATTACTTGCCAATCGTTAATTCTGTGAATGGGACAGAAGCTGGGGAAATTGTCCCAGTATCTCTGAAATACACACGAGTTGAAAGGGACCAGATGTGAGTAAGTTACACAACTGAATGTGCAACTTTATGTTCATCACTATACAGGACAGATGCTAGGAGCATGTAGGGCACTAACTCATGGGCATTGGAAACTGCATGTCAGCTTAGGAAAGAGGAGTCTAAGGAGGGGTATGCTAGGTCTATAAAATTGTGACTAGTGTGGAAAAAGCAAATAAGGTTTATTTATTTCCCACAATATAAGAACTAGAGGTCACCCAATGGAATTAACAGGCAGCAGGTTCAAAACAAACCAAAGGAAGTTTTTCTTCACTCAGTGCACAGTCAACCTCTAGAACTCCTTGCCGGAGGATGTGGTGAAGGCTACCACTTTAACAGGGTTCAAAAAAGAGCTAGATAGATTCATGGAGGTTAAGTCCATCAATGGCCATTAGCCAGGAGGGGTAGGAATGGTGTCCCTAGCCTGTTTCTCTGGAGGTGGGTGACAGGGGAGGGATCATGTGAGGATTCCCTGTTGGGTTCCCTCCTTCTGGGGCAGACAGGACACTGGGCTAGATGGACCTTTGGTCTGACCCAGTAAGGCCGTTCTTATGTGAGAGTGAGCACAGAACTGTAGTGACAGGGCAGAGCGACCCCAGTCAATTTAAAATAATTCCCTTTCAAATAGTGTTTCAATGTTAGAATCATAGAACCATAGAGCTGGAAGAGACCTCAGAAGGTCATCAAGTCCAGCCCCCGCTCTAGGCAGGACCAATCCCAAGTAAATCAACCCAGTTGATGTTTCTCCAGTTCCCTGCTTTTTCTAGGGACTCCTCGCCAGGCTAACCGAGCCCATGGTCGCAGAGTATCTGCTCTGCACCGCGCTCAGCTGTCTTCTTCCCCCTCTGCTCCTTCCAGTCTTCCAGCTCTGCACCCGCTCACCTCCCACAATGGCATCAAGTGCAGCCCATTTTGCCTCCTGCGACCATTCTTTCTTCTTTACAAGAGGGTTTCTCAACCCCAGAGTCACAACCCAAAATTGGGCTGCCAGAATGTGTCAGAAGCATGGGAGGCTCCCTCGGCTCCAGTCCTGGGGTGCTGGCCTGGCACAGCTCTGTGATGACAGAGGACAAGCCAGGTCAAACCTGTGTGGCACTGGAACCATACGTATGAGGCTGCAGCACCACTCTCACAAACGTGGCCTGGTCATCCCACCAGGGGAGTTAGACCAAACCACAGCGGTGCTGCGACCCGGGAGGTTGCGGGAAGCCCAGCCCGGCCAGCCACACAGGACTGGAGCTGCGGCTATGGGACGCAGTGTGCTTTCTATGGAAATGTGTCTATTTTATAAGACACTGCATAAGGCAAATACTTTTCACACTAAAGCTATTGATTGGGTTGCACCGAGCCACCTTGGGTCCTGAGCCTGAGAAGGTCGCGAGTCGCTGCTTTACAATGGGCTGGTTTCCTGCAACAGAAGCTGCCTCTGTGAATGGAAATTTTGCAAATAGCAGCCACGTGGTACAGGAAGTAATCGGAGCTGAGGCAGTGTACAGAGCTGCTACTGTAACACGGGGCCTTTCATTGCAGGGTCTCCAGCAGCTCTACCTGTGGGTAAACAGCCTGATCTCACGAAGGGAGAGTCTGAAACAAAGGGGAAGGGACTGGCCCGAGGTCACAGAGAGAAGCCATAGCAGAGTCCAGAGTAGAAGCCAGTTCTGCTGCTGGCTATGCTCCCTGCTCTCACCATTAGGTCATGCTGCCTCCCTCAGGAAAGCCCGAGGATACCCTGGAGAGATGGCCCTGGCAGGAGGCTGGAGCTGTTCTACCTACCGTGGTGGTGGTGGTTCCCGTGGTCGCAGCCTGCTGGAAGTGCGCCGCAAGCCCGGCTTTGTCCTTGCACTGCTCCTTGCACTCCAGACACCGGAAGCAGTTATAGCTGGTTTGCTCCGAGCCGCCGCTCAGGGGCAGGATAGGCAGATCCTGAACCCCGTTTGCGGCGGCCATGGCGGTC